GATTTGCCATGAGCGAATCTCCCCCATCGGCTAATGGTGAGCTTTCGGTCCATCTGAATATCCCTTGGTACCAACTTCATGTGAGAGCATGGAAACACTGACCTGTGCATCGCGTTGGTCCTCCATGTCATTCCTTAGGCATTCAGATGCCGTCAAGCCTTTTAAAGAAGGAATTCACGACAAAAACGAAAGTTCAAAGAATGGGAAGATTGCAAAGTTGAGAGACAGGCTGACCTCCTTAGAGTGCGACCGACCGACGCGCAATCGGTGGCAAGATTTGACGTTGGCGATCTAGCATGGCTCACTCTTGGCGCGGTTGGCGTGATACGCCCACCGGCTATCCAATCACTCGCCGCAGGTGTTGACGCGACAGTGACTTGATAGCAGAGAGAGAGCATATTGTTGAAGGGCACAACGATGAGAATGCGGCAACCAGGGCAAGGAAGGGATCCCATTTACCGAATTTCGGGCGGTTTCAAATGGTTTCTTCTTCATCTCTGCTACACTGACCACCTCTACCCCTATTTCCAATGAGAATTTTCGTCGTAAATTCTGTTAAATGAGAGTAATTGGTGGAGCGGCGCATCGCAAAAAGGATCGATCAGCCACCAGTACTCTATCATTATCCTGCATTTTCTCTCCTTGATAGACTTGCCACTCTTCTAGTTGTAGGCAATCCGCTAAAGCTCAAGGCTGAGCATAGACCTATTGGTAGTGTGTGAAACTAGAGAGTAAGCTGATTATTCTTTGTCGGATGCGCCAGATATTCTATTTACTTCCGCTCAGAGTCTAAGTGACATTTGAACATATTTGGCATACACCGGCTTCGGGGCCGCAGGAGTCGTATTTTGGAGTTGATCAAGGTTAACTATCTCTGGGAAAAGTGTGAACGGGTGGGAAGGGTTGTCTGGCGGGCTTTCCAATGACTTTGGCGAAGGTTTTCATGAAAATAGCGTAAATTATACAAAAATGGTGGATTAGCCGCTCATTGTTCCAGTTTCTCGCCCTCTCCTCCCCCTACCTGCTCGGTCGTTTTGGAGGAAATAAAGGAAAAGAGGGCGGAGTTCAGCGAGTCAACTGAGGATGTGGGGTATCGCAATGGGGGAGCCTCCTATGACTGATGGTGGTGATGGGCGGTCGTGAAATGTTTGGAAAAGTAGAGTGCGACTGTTGACCGTGCCTCGATTGGATGCGTGGAAATCCCTTTCGAGGAAGGATCATCCCCAGTGCGGAGTAAGCCAGATGAATCCCGGGAGCTGTTGCTGAACTGACTCTCCCTAGCAGAACAGTATAGATCCAGCGTCATGTCTTCGTCTCTACGATAGAGAATCTAGGACGACTTCGGATAGCAAAAGCCCCTGTAGTGTTGCATCGTGTGACAACAGTTTGGATAATAGAAACCGGCTTTACTGGTTTGTCCAATCTGGAGGAACGAGAAGAAAGTGCACAACTATCAGCTGATGCGTATCAAATATTGCGCTGACTACAGCAAGTGGCCGAACGCATCAAAACTGATGAGCACTTATGGTGATAACCTGAACCTCTACGAGACGCTATACGCCTTCCAAAAGCCCTAGAGAATGGCCACCATCTCTCACAGTTGTGTGCTGTTTGAAATACACACGAGAAGCCGTCGATTCAAGGATCTTCACAGAAATCGAGCAGATGTAAGAAATCGAAGAACTATTAATTATTATTTTATTGAATAATCTCGTCTCAAACCCTTTACGCACTACATGAAACTCATCTCGTTTCGGGTAGCCGATAGACTCGTTAAAAAGCATTTTACATAGAAAGTTGACTATACGGGTAGTAGAACGAGATGGCAACTCTCTCCTTTTTTTCTTTAATCGATTATATTTGTGTAGATTTCTCATTATGATAGAGGACAATCAGTTTCGCAGTCAATGGCACGTAAGAGATAGTTAAAGTTACTTTACGCTTTGTGTGACTTGTTGTAATATGTGTCGTACGAATTATGCTATCCGAAGTTGAACACGAATTGCAGTTTTTTTATACCTCATTTCGATAAAATAATACAAACAATCCCGTCGAGTTTCTCAATATTGGAATTCGAATGACTAAGTGAAGTGAATCACAAGTTAAAGGAATTCGTGAAGATCACAGATTCCAGTCGATGATATGTTCATAAAAATGCCCCGACAATACTATCGCTAACCCTTAAGGCCTACAACTACCGGGGGACTAGATATGGCAAGTTAACTAAGAGTAAATGATGGACAACAGTCAAGTAAATACAATCGAAGTAAGACGCGATAACAATATTATGAGATGATATTCAGATAAGATAAGAAATTATTAGTACCGGAATAGATAAATGACATTATCTGATCCACAACCGTAGCATTACCCGCGCTCAGCAATCGTCAACTTCTGCGACTTGTGAAACTCGTGTACGAGAGCGTAGGACAGTCCAAGACCCCACGCCACTTCCATTCCTTTGAGCTTTTTTGCTAGCTGAAAGTATTCGCAGTTCATAACATAATTTCGAATGAAAGCTTATCTGATGTTCGATCAGCTACAACATGTGGCGTGGGTTTGTACCGCGCGTGTGAGCGTGTGTAAAAACCCAAATATGAGCTTCTGCATCGCCATCACCCAGCTCCTCTCCTCTGCCAGCCACCCGCACACCTTTCATAAAACTGTCGGATGGCTTTTGCGGGCAGACGTTCAAAGAGGAATTTCACTCTTTACTGCTTGCGTAATCTTCCTTTCAAAATTTCTTGAAAACACCATAGCCATCCCCTTTCCCAACCCGCTTCATAAACGCTCCTTGGTGAAATTGACTATTTCATGAGGCTCTACAAACTGGCCAGATGTCATACGGCCAAGTAAACCATCACTGATCAGATGTACAGATTAAATGTACGTAAACAAATGAATATGAAAAGCAGAAACTAGAGGAAGGGGCCATTAGGACTACTCCTAAAAACATAAAGTTATAATAATAAAAAAAAAAAACTCACAAACAGCGGCTGGCTATCATCGAATCCATATCCATCATGAAGAAGGCTATAAATGTAGGTTAGATCGTGGCACTGCCAAGGCATCCAAATGAAAACCCTTCAGCTCCTCAGGACCCCGTGAACAAGCTGTAATAATTGGATCACTAACAATCAACGGCTTATGCCATGCCACTTAAAGTCATACTAAATACGAATTACAAATGTCTCAAGCAAGGTCACAAAAAAACCAAAATTACGACCAATTCACCTTTCTGCGCTGCGACTTTGAAGTCTTCCAATTTCACCAAACCCCCATGGTGTTCTTTAACTAGACCAGCATTCAAACCACGGTCGAAAAAATAAGAAAACAAGTAGACTGTCTTTCCATGGAGTGCTAAGAATAGAATTCATGAATCGGACAACACTCAAAATTTAATGCAAATAGCGAAGTATACCGAAAGTCACGTTGAGCCTTCCATAACTATTGGCTTTGCTCAAATGAACCTAAGAAGTACAGAGTAAAGGACCAGAGTACGAAGGCGATCCTCTAAAATAAAAACAGAAAATTCAAAACTAAGTTATGGTACAATGTTCGTATGAAATAAGCAAATTAGACAAATAAGGGCACGCCTATTTTACTCCTCTCAGTTCACCCTAGAAAATAATCCTCCAGCCATCGTATAACTTTCTCAGCGCTTGGTTTTTTTCTCAGAAAAATCATACCTGATCGTCCATTTTTGAGAGCGTACTCCCAATCTTGTAGTACAAAATCAACAGGTATACAAGGTGAATAAAGCTGCGACTTGATATCATTTTCATTTCCAGACAGCTTCAGCAATCCATGTCAAGGCCGTGCGGCCCCAAACCGTTGCAGGGACCCTAAATGCTGACGAGTTCATGAACAGAGCTTAGTAGCAAAAGGTAGAAGAAATAAGTACCAAAAGCGAACTTTGATTCAAGGAGGTCATCACAAGGTGGATATTGAACAAACATTAGAGAGAAATTTACCTATGTGTAAACAACCGCATGCGATAGCCAAAGAAATCTATGTCTCTTTCATATTCGGGATACAAATCGAACATGTGTCTGTCTTCAGGCCAAAACGTTAGTTGAGTTGAGCCACCGCCAAGGTCAAAAGCAGCAACACTCCTTGAGGGGTTCTGGGTGATGTGGGTGCGCTACATCATCTACAAAAGTAAATGCTCAGTGTATATGCAATGAAACCATTGGACGAGCACCTTACCTGAATAAAGTCTATTCTTCAGTAGAAGGTTCAATGTAAACCAGCTGTACATTCCTTCGTCAGAGCCACTCATAATACTGACAGCATCAGGTACAACAAAGAAACCACTACTGGCAATTACGTCCTCGACCTAAAATATAATTGAATTATTTGAACACCAAAGTGATGTCATTTTCAACAATAATTCCATTTATAACTAGGACGACCAATTAAGCGAGTGAGACAATAAGACCGAGCTTCACGTAACTCTAACTCACCGCCACTCCAACTCTAAACTCCAACTAAATAAATAAATAAAGTCGAAAATCCGATAGACCTAACGTGGAGCCAGATAATCCTCAGCAAAGGAAAGTACGTGACGGATTCAAAAGCATGAACTAACTGCATCTAGTATGTCGTCAGCCAGGTCACCAGGAAGTAAACGAAGACCAGCTGTCGCCTTCAGTGTTATGGGCGTTTTCTCCCACATGAAAAGAGGAACATGTGCTTGTGCTGTCTCAAGAAGAGGTCGAATAGAGGCTCCAGCTGCAGAAGGGTCGTCAATAAATGAAGACAGTGCCGGTTTAGCCTGAAAATGGGATAACGTGAAGATACATTGGTAAAACGAAGCAACATAAATTCTCAACAAGAAAAAGCCATTTAGGAAAATTCCTCACATTAAGAAAACCGCTCTGGCTAACTTTTACAACTTATTCTTGAGCAACTTTTCCCAATCTCATCTCCATTTCTCTTCGAATATACGTACTTTCAGTGGCCCAAGCAGCCTTCTTGGCACAGAGTTGTGCTTTCGAAAATTCCAACTGCTGACTGGCGCTTAATTCAGTACTCATTTCGTGCACTAGCAGCGGTATTTCGCACACTTGTCTCATCTTAAGATTCACGCCTCATTACACTTACACTGCCCTAGCTTCCCTACACCCAATCAGAGTTTTTTTTTCTTCTGTGAATTACAAGCAAATGTTTACGTTTCGTGGCGTTGAAGTGGGAGGATCTTCACCTTAAACGGGGACTATTAGTCAAATGTTGGAAAAGATCATCGGAGAATGTTAACCAGAGTTTAATTTGATAAACTCGACAAGGACACCTTTAATTACAAAGCGTAAAAAGAATGTCCCACGAGAGTCAAGCGATATGTAATTTCAAAATCCTACATACAGTGAGCCTACTTTCAATGTAAAAGGAAGATAAAATACACAAAATGAAAAATCATTTCAGTTATCAAGCCAATCAGCATCACCTCGAGACTCAACGAAATACTGCAAATTCCTACCTCACGGAAAATCTCCTCCTCAACTTTGAATGGTATTCCATTACGGTCCGTATTATGAACGTATTTGTATAAGTGCAGCCTTGTACCCGTTGATCCCGCATCGAAAACTATTGCAAAAAATCTGCAGGGAACGCCCTGAAAGTGAATAAGTTTCAAAGCAATTGCATACTGGTAACGCGACGAGCGAAAACAACATTTTGTTTCTCTCAAATGTGTAAACATTGTCGCCATACCAAGTGATAACAGGGAACTGATTGAGAGATTAATGGACTCGCTACGGCATACATTACACCAAGAGGAAACACTTTAAGATTTAGCTTCGCGGTTACCAACATGACGCAATAGACACCGCAGCGTAAACTACAAAAACAATAAAGAAAAATAACACGTTCAGTGATGATCGGCCTCCGGGGAACGTCACGCGCTCTACTTCCATTGAGAAACTCATCAGCACTTGAAAACCTATGAAATGAAACGTGGTGGCCTACTGAATCACAGAAGTGAATTCATCACTTGGAGAAAGACGTGCTATTAAACTAACTGTAGAAGGATGAAGGCCATGCATGTTTGTGCGGGCGTAGTGATCCGAGATTTGACCTTTCGTTTGTGAGTGGATAACATGTTGTGACCCTAATCGACAGTAAACCACCAAATAACTTGATTGATAAATCACCCATGACATTGTGAACAGTTTTTCGTCATACGGGCCGTGAAGTGAAAGTAAAGTTTTAGTCAATATAAAATAGGCTGATTTTGAATTCAGATTAGTTAACGCAGTCTCTATTTTCGGCAAACTTTGGGCTATGCAAACTCCACGCTCATTGTGGTGGTCCAAAGGACAGAGCGGTTTATGCCAACTTTTTGTAAACAGAAACGAATTTCAGAATGCTGTGGGACATGGTCGGAGTTCTGCATTTTTGGCGGGGATACACCAAATTAGAGTCACGCGCCGAGCCACAATAAAACAAAGGAAGAAGCTTAGGTTGCCCATATCTTCGGCCAGCTTCATGAGAGAACAATGGGCACTATTCAACTATTACAACCCCAAAATCTCAAAATTTTATTTTTCGTCGAAACTTCGCCTATAGGGGTTATTCGATGCCCTGATCACGAAAATGACATTCATTTTTGGCGTTGGCGCCATTGGCGCCATTTGGCGCCAGGGCTGTTTTCACCAAATTCGCTGTAAACTTGTATATAGGGGTTATTTGGGGTCCTGATTACGAATATAACATTCATTTTGGCGCCGCCATTTGGCGCCTATTTTCGGCTCGTCTGCCCCCTCTCACTGATTAGCTCGCGATGTCCCCTCTCCTCCTAAGCTTAGTCTGAGGTAATATGTACAAGTGAGAGGGCCCAGGAAAACGGAAAATCTGCGTTGAATAGTGCAAATGCTAAAAACGAATGTCATATTCGTAATCAGGACCCCAAATAACCCCTGTATACAAGTTTACAGCGAATTTGGTGAAAATAGCCCTGGCGCCAAATGGCGCCAACGCCAAAAATGAATGTCATTTTCGTAATCAGGGCATCGAATAACCCCTATAGGCGAAGTTTCGACGAAAATAAAATTTTGAGATTTTGGGGTTGTAATAGTTGAATAGTGCCGAACAATGTGTATCAAATATGATCACAAATGTAACGGTCGCGAAATCAACAGCGACTTCGAAGTACTATGTAAACACTGTAGTTAGAGACTGGTGTGTTAAATTTCTTCCTAAGCCGCTTTTATACATAAAACACTTTGTAACATACTTCGAATACTTTGCAAACGTAGTATATTTAAAAAACACTAAGTACTTCTGGAAAAGTCGAAAAAATACCTGGAGCACACCGCTAGTGTAGCAATAGTAATCCTCCACTCGAGATTTGGTTGAGGTTATGAAAGAAGCACAGAAAGTAAGAATAAATAATAAGGTGTAGTGAATCATTTCTATAATGCCGAAGATGACAAGGACCCGTAAGTCGTAGATGTCGGTTGTAACAGCGGTGTTTCGAAAAAGCTAGTGCATCTTGTAGTTCGTTTATCGATCCCGGAATGATCTAAACAGGTTAGCTCGTAACAAAGAAGAGTTACACATAAAATCGAAAAAAAAAACAAAGAGAAAGCGCACGCAGCAAATAAATAGACATCACAAAGAGAAACTGACAGGTGGGAATTATTAGCTTCATATGGTAAAGGCGATTGACTTGTGATTGCCAATCGCACCCATTTTCATCTGATATCAATATCAAAGAACACTGGCGTGACCGTTTCGAAAAAAACATTTGCTGTCAAACATTTGGTAGCGCCAACTATCACAAAAGGATTGTCGTATAACTTCGTATAATGTATGCATCACAAATCACGCTCAGAATCATTTTAACCGAAAGCAATTGCTTTAAAAATATGAAATCACTTTTAGCGCGCCAATACGGGCAGGAACAGATGAACTTTCATGATACTATCAATTATAAATCAATGCAACGACAGCGATGTTACAAAAGGTTTGGCGCGTACATTATTCATTAAGTTCGCTGTCAAGCGCAATATTTTCTGAAATAGGTAACTCACGATATTGTGAACCCTTTTGTTGTGCGAGAAAGAGGCATGCATCCAATTGGATATTCACGATTTGACAGGGTGTGTTCACTAGGAACAAGAGAGCGACTTGTTCGCGTTTCGCGTGCAAAACATTTTTCGCTACGGGAACTCCAGGTCCATTCATGAGTAGCGTTGGACCCGAGGTTTCTGCAGCGAAAAATGTTTCGCGCAGCGCAACGCGAAAAAGGCTGTACGTCCTGGCGGACCATACCTCTTGAAACCCTTGAGGGCTCTGGGCCGCGGATATCCCCTTTTCTGTACTAGCGCCCAATCACGCACAAATAAGTATAAGTTTATTACGCCTGCGGAGGCAAACGTCAGGAAAAGCACAATGTCACTATCGATCAGTTATACAAACGACAATTACGCAATATTAAGGATAAGGATTATTGAGGATAATACAGATGGTTAATCAGTCTCGGGAAACGTTGGCCGGCAAGGTGCGCTTAGCACCAAGTTTACTAACTAGGTTAGTTTGAATTTGGCACACAATGCATTAGACGAGACCAAAGTGAAATAAAATATTATGAAAATGAAAGATTTACGCCGACTTTGATCTTTCAAAATTTCTGATGATTTCCTTTCAATTAAGGCGACGGGAACGAAATGGGACCTACCGCTGTACGACTACAAACCTCAAATGCTTATCATCAAAAATTGTATAGAAAATGTGATTGTGGGTAAATGAGGCCGAAGACGTTGGCATTGATAGTGAACCCAGAGGGCCGACCTGATACAAGCAAACAGTGCACAGCTTGTACTTCTCGTATTAGTCTTTTTTTTTTTGTTCTTTTTTTTCTTATTCTTTTTTTTTTTAATGTTATGATTTGAAGACACTGCCCTCTTATTTCAGTACCTCCACATCATAAACAAAAACATTCACCTTCATCAGCTTAGCATGCGACAGCTTAAGAAAGGAAGTTGTAAAGAAAACGAACACAACCGATTGCATCAGACAAGACATCCATTCGGGGAAAAGTGAACCGGAATGCAATCGATTTCTCTCGCAACTAAGCAGCGCAGACAGCTGTGCAATTAAGGACAGACAGGAACTGTATTTGAACTAGTTTGTTCAGTTTCTCTGGCAGCTTGAAGACAGTCACAAATGCGATTTCATTTTGAATACTCGGCAGCGGAAATCTTCTGTGAATATTCAGATAATTGGTAGCCAACAAGAAAAGGATGGCTAGGTTGAAGCTCGAAGAAAACAAAACTACAGATCTTGTATGCCTCATATTGCTCGTGACAAACTACAAGAAAGGTAGGAGAATGGCCTACAGTGGCATAATACAGAGGGTCCAAATAAAATCTACCTAAGGCCCTGTTCAGAGATGTCCGCTTGCGCGAAAAAACGCATAGGCGAAACAATGTGAAATATGTATCGACTGAACGAAGACGCACAGGCGAATCGTGAAGTGGGAGGATCGACGAAAATGAGTATCATACGCATCGACTTACGAACGCTTCGCTCACGCGATTTTCCGCCTGTGCGTTTCTCACAGTCGATACATATCAAACTCTTGACTGAAATTCGCCTGCTCCGGACGTTTCGCTTACGCGTTTCACAATTTCTCAGTCGATGCGTATCTAAATCTTGGCGGAGATTTTCGCCTGTGCGTTTTTTCGCGCCGGCGGACATCTCTGAACAGGGCCTAAAAGGAAGCGTTTTCAAATAACGTCGGAAGACAGCCCTCCTACTGTCTGTAAGTGCAGACAACTTCTTTCACTGTAGATACCGTATCCTTTTTACCGTAAATGCGTACCGTAGTCATACTAGGATTTGTTTATTTTCATGTACTAGAAGCACATGAGAAAAAACACAACAAAACAGTGCCACAAAGTAAGCAACACAATTCATAACATCATGAGAAAATAGAGTAGAACACTAAGAGTGCACTAAGGCGAAAGAAATATTTGTCCATCCTCCAAATATCCTTTCCAAATATGAGAATTTTAAAGCCCTCAGGTGTAGAATTTTGTCAATATTTTTTCCAAGAGTGGTAAACTTCTAGGCATGGAATATTTTTGGGTTAATCTGCCAATCATCAGAAGCGCGAAGAGAAACTAAAGTAGCTCTGCTGTAGGATTTAGCAAAGGGACGATTCATCTTCAGTTGCCCTAAGCTACCAGCTATCTTCAACTATGAATGGAATGCCTCCCCAACAGGAGGGCCAATCACCCGCTGGGCAATTCTGGCAGTGGTCGTGTCTGAACGGCAGACGGAGGATAGAGGACGGAATCGTGAGTGCTTGGGCGAGTGGAAGTAAGTGGCATTCTGATCAAGAGGAGAGCGCCACTCATGTAGAAAACTGGAATGTGTGAGAAAACAGACAAAATGTCTATGTGTTATACATTAGCAAGGCCGTTCTTATCGTTTCACATTGTTGCGTTTTACAGGAACTTGGTCGCAAAGAAAAAATGCGTAAATGAGGAGGTAATGCAGGGTAATTTAAACTATAAAATAGGCATGGGGTCAGTGTAATGTTCCTGCTACCCGGAGCTCGTTAATTCACACCAGCAGGCCACTGCGTGGACGTAAACCTTCCAAACGCCTCTACCAATGCGAAGGGAAGTCGAACGTGTGGCGCGGTGCCCAAAAGCGGTTTAGCCAGTGGTTTGAGTCGCACTTTTTGCAATGAGAAGCTGTGGAATAGGACTTCCAACTTTTTAAGCACCATCGATTACAGTGAAATGAAGCGACAAGAAGAATTTTTCAAGAGACGAAATGTCGCGAACGCGATGATCGCTCCGAGGGAATCCGGGGTGCGCCGGTGCCCGCGGGTAGTCGCCGTCATGACCCCTATATATCTACTTCGTGATCGTGCGGCAACGCACGGTGCTGTTATCGACAGCAACATCACGAACCTGACCTGGGTTCCTCTTACGTCATGGGTATGCTGCGTCATCAATTCT